TGAAAGTGTTCAAAACGCAACATTAATTTCTTGACGACCTAATATCATATTATGAATATTTAATAGCCTTATTTTATAACTATATGTAACCATGTGGGTTATGATTGCCATACTTTATAAACACTATTCACGTTGGTCATAATAATAACATTGTCTATGTTCCTAAAACGTTGGTACTTTTACTTATAGTAAAAGTAGTTAATGTTTATACTCGCAGTTTAATGGAGGACGTCTTGCGATTTGTGATAACTTTTCTCGAATAAAATTATATTTCGAAATTATCATGTATGTCTAAGATATCAGTAAGTTTTCCCCAGGTAAATAAAATTATACTTCTGGCCAGCCTACGAAATAACATTCATGAAATGTTAATACCTTTTCAAATATGCCAGAAATAAATTAATAACTGATAATTCTATTAAATTCATTAGTGGTTTAATTTCAGCAGCGAAACTTTATTCTTACACACAAGCAATTCAACATATTTTTGCTAGAATTTCAAACTAGAAAAAAAAAGTTTGCAAAATTCGAAAACAAAAAGTGTTACGAATTATGAAAAACTTGACTTACATGAAAGTAGCCAAATCTGTTTTTAAATCTGTGAAATTTTAGATGTTTCCGGCGTCACAAAATTCTAGTTAATGCGGAGTTGGTGTTTCTTTCACTGAAGTTATAGAAGCAAAAATGTAAAGTTTTAGTCCACACAGGCCTGTGAAACGACTAACTACATGTAGAGGACAATTTTACTTTCATATTATTGGTAAATTTCGCAAGAGCAACTTAAAAAACAGAAGCATGGTTTGTTTCAGTAAACAACCTGTCAAACGAGGAAAACTTCGTCTTAATATTATACAAAAACCTGTAACACATCCCATATCCTTAAAGGGGGATTGTAGTAGAAAGTATGACCTTGAGGGTTTTGCCAACTATAACTTTGAGGGTATTTCCCTATATATATTACATCATAACTAGAGTATCGGCGTATCAATTAAGCGCCTAAAAACCGCTTAAAACAGTAACTTTATCCTTGAGGTAACCTGGAATTCTGACTATAAATTTGTATATATATATGTACCCAAATTATCAAATATATAAATAAATATATCTAATGTTATGAAATACATTCATTGTCCATATGCGATAAAAATCACCACTATAAAACAATAATGAACTTAATACGAAACAAAAACAACATTATTATGGGACTAAAATTCAAAATTATTCCTCCATTACCATTCTTCGTTGTTATCCTTAAGTTATACTGGATAATGTCTGTGAACTGTAAAGAATTTATTATTGTATATTTATTTTAATATCAGCGTTTGTTGAGATTAAATTTATATTTAGAAACATCCATAGCTTATACCGTTAAAAATGTATTGCG